CTCCAGCTTGAGAAAAGAGTAGAACAGAGAGTACTAATGTATGGGGGCAGGGCCTAGAGGAAGGGGGTTTAATGGTGGTGGTTTGTTGTTGTTCAGTGGTGTCCAACTCTTCATTTGGGGTTTTCTTGGCAAAGATACCGGAGTGGTTTGCCATTTCCTTCTACAGTTCCATTTTATAGATAAGGAAACTGAGGCAGAATTAAGTGACTTGCCCAGGGTCTCATAGTATCTGAGACTGGATTTGAACTCAGGAAGATGAGTCTTTTTGACTCCATGCCCAGCACTCTATCCACTGCTCCACCTACCTGCCTGTGGTGGTGGTAGGGGGAGATAAAATGCCCAATTCTCTTGGAGTGGCCTCCCCATGCTGCAAGCCATGGATTTCCCAAGGACCAGCTGCCCAACAAGGGAAGATTAGTTAGAGGGCTAGCCTAGCCTAGCCTAGCCTAGCCTAAGCCTGCAGCCACAGCTGAAGACTCCAGGAAGCAGCGCCCTGAGGAGGCCCCAGGCCAAGGCGGCCACTGGGGCCTCCTGGGATAATTTCCAACCAGGAGGAAGTTGAGCGGCTGTCCTCTTCCCTCCCTTCCCACTCCACACCCCTTCCTTTCCTTCAAGATTTGCATACTTGCTTGTTTCCTATTGGTCGATTCTCATCTTCAGGAACCAGGAAGGCTTTGGTGAGGCCCTTTGCTAATGGGAAATTTTCCTGGCCTAGGAATCCAGAGACCAGGGTTTGAATCCGGACTGCCCATTTCCTTGAGAAAAGTCTTGTCTCCACTTTGGCCCTGTTTCCTAATCTGTAAAGTTGAGGAGGGATTAGAACTTTAAAGTTCCTTCCATTTCTTTACATTCTAAAATACTATCAGGAGGGCAAGGAATTGACAAAATGGACAGACAAGTCCTTGGGAGCCAGCTGAATGCTCTCAGTTGAGCCTTCTTTACCAAGAACTGACTTCTCACCCATGACCTAACAGGACCAGTCTCTATTTTACTGATGTGGAAACTAAGGCCCCTAAATATGGCTCACTTACCAGCAGAGGCAGAAAAAAACCAGTGTCAGGCTTCCCAATTAAGAGACTGCCCAATTAATTGTTTTCCTGATCCTTTTCCCCCATGAGCTTAAAAAAAAAACCTGACCCAAAAAGGCCATATCATAACTCTGAAAGCATTTCTTAAGCACCCATTATGTCATCAGATCATAGATTTAGAGCTAGAAAAGAAAAGAGAGTGGTGTAGTCCAACTTCATTTTACAGGCTAAGGAAACTGAAACTCATCAAAGTTAGACAACTAGACAAGCCCAAAGTCCCACATGTTGTAAACCAGAGACAGGATTTGTACCCAAGTCTTCAGACTTGAGTGCCAGAGAACTCTTTCCCTTGTATCATGCTAGTTCCTCAAAATGAAATGGTCTGACTACTCTCAGCCCTAAGTTGCTGCCCCTGAAAGGCCCTGCCTGGAAGACAGATTGGGAAATGGGGAGGGTGGAGGGAAAGAGGGGAGGGGAAAAGGGTTGCCTGAACCCAGGAATCCTAAGCTGGGAAAAGTAGTGGCTGCAGATGTCACGGTGACTCAGCCTGCCTGGCAAGTCCTCATTCCCTTGTCCATTCTCTGACCCACCAGTCTCCTCCTTGGCCTTGGCCCAGGACATTGCAAAGCTCAGTTTTTGAGTCCAAACGGTAAGACACGTCCCGCAGTGCTCCAGAACATAGCAGCCCAGCCCAGAGATGACCACAGGCTCTGGCTAGGGTGGTCTGGGAGAACAGTGTGCCCCACAGCTGGGCCCCAGAGCCTTGAGGGAAGGGCCTGGACTTTGATTCCTCTGGGCCCCCAAGTTCTATTCTGATTTGGCTGGAATCTGAAAGAAGATAAGAAACAATGATGGAGACTGAGAGAAAGAAACTGAAGGAGACAGGACATAAGTGGTGACAGGAAGAGACAGAGAATGAGAGAAACAGAGAGAGATTGAGTTCCACTTCTGTAAATTGAGGGGTTTGGAGTAGAGGAGATGCCAAGTCCTTTCTAGCTCTAAATCTTGATACCCTGTTAACTTAAGTCAGGAAACAGCTACAGATACAAAGACAATCGAGGCTGCTGCATATGAATCCTTCTGGGGCCAGGGTGCACAGCAAAGACTGTGTCTGAGGAATCAGCAAGTAACCCTATTGAAATACACATGCAAATAAGATGCAAATGAGATGGGAGGTGCCAAGTTTAAACGTGGCTCCCCCTCTGCCCTAGGATGATGAAAGTAGCCTGAAAGAGCCTGAAAGAGCCTTTGTGGCCTCCTCCCAGGCTCGGGAAGCAGAACCGGGCAGTCTCACCAGATCATTCAAGCCCTGTGGGGGCGGGGAGGGGACGCAAGAGTAGGGTTCTCCCTCACCTCCCCACCCAAGGCCCAGCGCAGCTTCCTGGGATGGGCTAGGGGCGTGGCCAGATAGCCTGGAGGTGGGGCCACGGAGCCAGGGGCGGGGCTCTGAGGTCTGGGACCAAACGTGCCGTATGTCAGAGAGCACCTGGCTAATATTAGAGGCTTGGGCTAGGCCTGGGTCTGAGTCACCGCTTCCTGGAAGTGGGTGCGGCTGGGACCCGCCTTGCCTGCACCACGAGTGGAGGTCTAACCTGTGCTGAGGAGCTAAAAGACCCTCGACCCAGGCCTGAAGGGCAGCCCCAGGAGGGAACTTCCCCCCTTTCTCTTTCCCAGGAAGGGCAGAGCCCTAGTCCCATGGGCTGAGCAAAGCTAAAGGTGCCAACAGCCCCTACCCTGTTCCAGGATACCTGGGTCACCAATTGCTCATCAACCTTTTGCCTTTCCCTGGGCTTACTCCTTTCCCATCAAGAGGTGGCCCCTGGCGGGGGTAGAGGCCCTAATTTTTCCAGTTCCCATTCTGGAGCTCCCAAGACTTCCCAAACTCAGCATTTTCTGGGGGTGGAGGTGGTGCAAATGTGAGCAGGATAGCCGACATTTGGTTCTGCTACCCTTCCTACCCTTCAGACCACCAACTCAGATCAAAATGGGGAAACTCAGAACCCCATAGGCTCCAAACTATAGTAAGGATGAGACAGAGGAAAGAACTTGGGACTGGGGAGTCCCGACTCCCCTATTGACTCCTTTAATTATTTAAACATTTATTAAGTGCCTACTACCTACAAGATCCTGTGCTTGGCATTGGAGATCTAGAGATGAAAAGTGGCAGCTGTCCTAATCTCTTTCCTATTGTCTCTAGGACTAAATATAAAGTCTTCTGTTTGACACTGAAAACCCTTCACTACCTGGCTCCAACCAGGCTAATTATATACATTGCTCCCTTCTTGACCTGTGTGGTCAGGCCAAACTGGCCTTTTTGCTTTTCCTTACTCAACATTCCATTACCCATCTCTTTGCCTTTATGAAGACTGATCCCCATACCTGGGATGCATTCCCTCCTCATTTCTTCTTAGACTCCCTAGCAACCAGTTTGAAATTATGTCCAAACTATACACTAGACTTTGCATAATACCCTTTGACCAAGCTACACCTCTCCTGCACTTTATACTTCCCCAATACACCAAAGAAAGGGGGAAATGACCTCTATATACAAAAAAATATTTATAGGGACTCCTCTTGTTACAGCAAAGAACTGAAAATGTAAAGGGTGCCCTTCAATTGTGGGGAATTTTAAAAAATCCCTCCAGTTCAAGCACCACCTTCTACAATTCTTTCCTGCTATCAATGAATCAATCAACAAGCATTTATTAAACACCTCCTGTATGCCAGGTACTATGCTGGGGGTGGGGGAACTAGGGAAAGTTGTAGAGAAGGCCGTACCTGATCAGTCTCAAAGGCACAGAAATTAGTGGCAGAGATAAAAATTGCAGATTTGGACCTTCGAGATAAATGAATGGAAAGAAAAGCATGTTACTAGAGCTTCTAGCTCAACCTCCTTATTTTTGCAGGTAAGAAAACTGCGGCCCAGGAAGGGAAGGGGTTTGCCCAAAGCCAGTCAGGTTACTAGCCTAGAATTCAAACGTAGGACCTCTGACTCTTAAGTCTTGTGTGCTTGCCACTATTCCAGAGCAGAGTGTGGTTGGTATGGGAGACGTCCTGCACGAATGGATGGAGATGAGAGAGCTTGGAGATTGGGGATCAGTTTGTGGACCAGTATGAAGAGTGAAACAAGGCTGGAACCAAATCACAGAGGACAATGCCAGGCTATATAGTAGGTGACATTTCATCCTGTAACCATTAATCATTTTTCAGTAGAAAAAAGAAATATGGTCAGGCAGAGGTGCATCATTTCAGCAGCTGGATGATCTAGGATTGTAGTGTCAATTGCAAGGATCCCTGATGGCCGCATATTAACTTAGACAACCACATGTTAACATCCATATCTCATTGAATTTGTATTTTGTTCAATATTTCGTTACATTTTAATCTGATTGAAGCAGCATTTTTGCCTTGTTTCACACTTCTGATCTAGGGCGTATGGCATGTCACTGTAAAATTAGAGGTTTGGTCTAAATGATCTCTAAGAACCTTGAAGACCAAGAAGGGAAGCAGTCCTCTGGGCTTTTGGGTTCCTCTTAGCTGTTTCCAAAGAAGCTTGTTGTTTTCTCATTAGCAAGACTGGAAAGAGGAACAGGCAGGCCCTCTTTCCCCACTCCTTCCTCTGAAGGGGGCCACTGCCGTCAGCATGTGTGTATTGGGGAAACCCCCAAGAAGGGGGTGTGTGTGTGTGTGTGTGTGACCTTAGAGGGTACCTACACCAGCTTTTCTCCCAGGCAATGGCATCTTGTGATCTAACTTCTGGGGAGTTCATTAACTCCCAAGGAGTCCTATTCTATTACTGAGCAGGTCGGAATTCTGGGAAATTCTTCCTTCTATCAAGCCCAAAGCTACCTTCCTGTAACTTCCCGTATTTGCTGTTAGCTCCATCTGGAGACCTAACTAATTTACTAATTCCACTCCAACCGAAACCATGAAATAAAATACAAACAGAAACACCACATACACACACAAAACTAATCTAAAGTCAAATTTTTATTGGTAATACAGCAGGAAGCAACCACTTCCTATCTAAAATATACCACCCATCTCCCCCATACCCCCTGGACAGGCAGGGCTGCCCCTCAATGAAGGTAAAAGATACCTGTCTGAGACTAGCACTGATACTCTCTGGGTATATAGTCCTATTGGAGGTACAAGTCTCTGCCGTCCCTGCCCCAGGTTCTCAGGGGTCTAGGAGAAAAAAAATACACCTAAGAGAGGGAAACTATAAAGTAGACAAGGTAGCCACAGCAGATATAAGGAGAGAGAGATTCTTAAAAAAACCATTTTCTTAACTACTAACATGAAACCTCGCCGGCCCTGAGGCATCATTGGCGTACATGGTTGGGGGGCCCTGGCCAGGGCCTCGGAGGGCACACAGTGCCGAACCAGCCAGTGAGAGGCTGTTATCCTAAGGACAGAGCCTGGAGGGAGGGAGCCGGAGATGCTGAGGAGGGGAACAGACTCCTCCCCTCCCTGGCTTCTCCTCCCCTCCTTCCTGTCCTCAAGAAGAAAGAGGGCTTGGGGCATCAGCCACAGGACAGACATTATTGTCTCATCATTAAACTCTGATACAATGTGTACCAACAGGGCAATCGCTTCTGGTCTTGAACAGAGACTGAGATCCAGAGCAGAGAGTCAGATGAGAGAGAAAGAGACCCAGAGGAGGTAGATGAGAGGGACAGAAACAGAAGAGAGTTAAGAGAGTGAGACAAGAGAAAATCAGAGGAAAGAACAACAGGAGAGTCAGAGGGGGAGAAAAGAGACATGCAGAACAGAGACATGAGAAAGACAGAGGCTTGGGTTAGATAAAGAGAGTCTTCATTAGTCCATGACCAGAATCAATTGTTACAGTATTTCTTTGGTTTCTGGGATCCCTTTTTTATAAGATTCTCCCTCAGGCTGATGCTCAGGAACCCACAGGGTTCCTGTGCCAAGACAATGGGAGTTGTTAAAAACTAGCTTGGTCCATGTAGTGTCCCAGTAACTCCAGGGACAGACTGGGGGCACTGTCATAGTTAGGCTGGGGTCCGTGGGAGACCAAGGCAGCCCCCACCCCATGCCCACACCCTGAGGGCTATGAGTAGCACTGGGAACTCTCCATAGCTCACCCACTTGGGTTCTGAGATTTGTAGCTGAGGATCTCAGCTGCCAGCTGCTGGGGGTCCAGGAGCTGCGGGAAGCGTCTCATCACAGCCTCCACCAGATGTGGGGGGAAGATGCCACAGAGCTTTACACGCAGGCTGGCCCGCTCCTTGGTGAAGCTATCTGTCCCAGCTCCCCATGTTGCTGCTTCAGCACCATAGGCTGCTGGAGCATTAAGTAGGTGAGGATCCCGAAGGGTTGGGGGAACCCTAGCTGCTGTGGGTGGGGGCATTGGGTATGGCTCTGACCAATACTCTCGTGGTGCATACCCCAGAGGTGGAGGGTACTCTGCTGGGATGCTAAACTGCCCAGTGCCCACAGGGCGCCCGTAGCCCGAGAAGGAGAGAGATGAAGGGCCAGGGGGGTGCTCGGGGCCATAGGTCAGGAGGTGACCTCGGCCTAGGAAGGTGCACCTCTGTTGGTTGCTGCCACTGCCCCCAGTCCTGGGAGGCTCCCCAGACTCCCCATGGCTGCTACTCCCCCGGCTGCCCCAGAGGTCTGACATTTGACTTTCCAGGGAGCCAATGCCTGAATCCAGGCAGTCTTGGGAAAGATAAGAGAGGGAGTCTAGGGGAGGGGGGGGCCAGTCTGCTGGGCCAAAGCTACTGCTCATGCTTGGCAGGCTCCTGCCTTGGGCGTAGGCCTTAGTCTGCCCATCCCCATTGCCTCCGGAAGCCTGTTGGGCCCCTGGGAACTTCTTCTCTGGCAGCCAATGTTCCCGATCATCCTTGACAGGCAGGGACCCAGGGGCTGGAGTGGGTGAGGGCTGGCGGCATTTCTTGTCTTTGGCAGATGCCCGGGGTGGGGAGAGTCGGGCATTGGCTCGAAGTTCATCTGCCACCGAGCGTTGGGGCTGGCTTGGCCTCTCTGGGTGGTAGAAGCGACACTTGATTCCATAGGTACACTTCTTTCCTGTGGGGAGACTTGTGGAATTGAGCCAGGCAAGGGCAAAGGGAGGCTCAGAGTGGGAGGGTCAGGGGAATAGGGAGAAAAATAAGGACGGCTTTCACTGCTCCAGCACTTTCATCCCAATCATACAAATACCGCAGCCCCATTTAAAGAGGAGAAAATGGAGCAGGGTCTACAGTGACTTCCCTAGGAACAGCGCACAAGGAAGGTCATCTAGGCCAGCATTTTATAGAGGTGAAAGCTAAAGGCCAGAACATGGCCCAGTCTCACCCAAAGTCCCACAGTTTAGGAGAGGCACAGCTAGGATCCACAGCTAACACCTAGGCCCCCTGGCCTCCTATCTGGGGCTTTTCTACTTGGGAGTGGACTTGGGAGTCAGTTGTGTCCATGGAGGCTCCTGGGAGGTGGGGTTAAGTGAGGGGCAGGGACGAGAGAATGAGGTGTTCAGGGCCAGTCTTACCATAGGGACAAGGCTGTTTCTTGTGCTCAAGCATGAGAGGTTTCTTCCGAAGGAAGTTATCCAGGCTGGGCCCGTGTCGGCCAAGGGGGTCATCAGGTGGCATGAACCTGTCAAAAGCAAGAGAAAGCCTCAGTCACTGGTCAGACATGAAAGCTCCACTCAGTGTCTGGTTTCCTGGCGTTGGAAGTCAAGCCCCCAGCTTCTGCTTCATGTCGTCAAGGTCCCCAAGGATAAGAGCTCCGAAAAGACCCAAGCCCTGGGGCCAGTGCTCTCTGGAGATTCAGATCCTCTGATGACATCAATTTGGGCAAGAGGATGTGGCCTGAACTTCAGACGCTGAGCCTGAAACTCATGCGTGCTAATCCTCATCCCCAGGAGTGTCAGAGGTGACCAGGGTGGGATGTTAGGAGACCCCTGTGCGTGGGGCTGTGGAGGTATATGTCAGGACCTAGCAGACACTTGGAACATCATCTGTGCTGGGCCATAGGGTTCCAGCACTAGAAGGGACCCTCGAGACCAATCCATCTTATTTTAGAGGAAGAAAGAGGCCCAGGCAGGGGAAGGGATGTGTCCCAAGTCACCTAGCGAGGCCGGCACTGGAGCAAGGCTCTCCGAACCTGCTTGCCTCATCCTGGCTGGTCCTCTCTTAATGACCCCAGTGGGTCTGGTCTGTTCTGATAAACTGATAGCCACTCCTGCACAGACTTACAAGCCTGCCCTGCCTTGGTGTCCGTTCAGTACAGGCACCCAGTTAAGAGTAAGGGGGAGCCTTTCATCGTCCAAGCGGCCCCCACGTCTGGAATGCTGTCCTCTCGGCTAATCTGGATAGTCCCTGGCTTCCACCAAAGCAGAGTTCAGGTCTCATCTCCTACAGGATGCCCTTCTTCCCTCCTTTCTCCTGTCCCTGAGATTACTTTGTAGTCATTTGTATACTTTGTTATTTTTGTGCGTCTATGTTATGTTGCCCCAGGTAGCAAGCAGTTCTCTGAGGCCAATGTCCGTTTCATTTTCATCTTCATATCCCCGATCCCTAGCAGACGGTGTGTGTTTAATTAACATCTGAATTAAACTGAATGCCCGGAGACCCTCACTCCCCCACATTCGGGCCTGGGTAACATCAGGTAGGGGAGGAGGACCGAGGGACGTACTTATCATTGACAAAAGAGTACATGAGCAGCCTCTCCTCAATGAACCGCTTCCATTCCAACCGCTCACACTGCAGGTCCCTGTAGGTGTCATTGGAGACTATGATGCCATCAGAGTCGAACGCAAGCTTCACTATGAATCGGTCATCATAGCACACGACCCGCTTGCCCCCCACTCGTCGGGATGGTGTGAATACCAAGATCTTCTTCTTCTCCAGCTCACGAAGAATGTGCTGATCTGCAGAGAGGACACGGGAAGTCGATGGGAGACAACCATGGGACTGTCTAGCCCTGGCTCCCTCTTTCACCTCAGGGATTCAGGAGCCTCAGCTTTCAGAGCTAGGGCCCCCTGAGGGCAGGGGCAGTGTTTCCTCTTCCCTGTCTCCAGTCCTGACTACTGCCCCTTTACATGTATTATCTCATTAAGCCTCACCATAAACAACCTTGTGAAGTAGGTATTATCATCCCCATTTTACAGATTAGGGAACTGAGGCTCAGATGGATAAAGTGACTTGTTCACTTTCTAACTAATATCAGAAGCAGGACTTGAACCCATGTCTTCCTGGTTTATTAGAATATTAACTCTATGAGAGCAAATACAGCCATAGTTTCCTATTTGTATTCCCAGTGTTTGGTGCAAAACATAGCACTTTTCAAGTCCTTAATGTTTGCTCATTCATTCATTCATTCATTCACTCCTGACTCCAAGTCTAGTAGCCTACTTACTCCATCATGTAGTTTTCCCCACAGCAGTGAGGGTCTGAGGCAGTGAAGATGCAAGGGAAAAGAATGCTGGATTTTAGTGCTAGAATAGTTGGGATCAGGTCTTGTCTCTGCTGCTTACTAGCTGTGTGACCTCAGGCAGGTCACCTACCATCTCTTGGCCTCAGTTTCCTGGTCTAAAACCAGTTGGGGTTGGAATAGATGGCCTCTTAGATCCCTTCAAGCTCGACCCGAGGATAGTATGATCTTTCTGGGTCTTGGCTTCCTAATCTGTATAATGATGGAGGTAGTGGTGGGTGAGGATTGGCCAGGTGAGCTCAGAGTTCCTTCCAATTCTAAATCTGTGATTCTATCTGCCAGAGACCTGAGATGACTCAAACCCTGGCTAATGCAAAGTGTATCTGGACCTGCTGGTTTCATCCTGAACTGGTAGCTTTAGAAAACACACCAAGGTTGATTGGAGTTCAAATGGATTCACAAGACACTTGTTTTGTGAAGGAAAAAAAAAGGAACTACCCCCCCTCTTGGGGTTCTCAGCTCAGTAAAACATATGTCTTTGAATGTGGCACTCTGCATGGTGGCACTGAGTCCATCCCAGCCAAGGGAGTTCCCATGCCTGAGGTCCTCAACCTGCCAACTGGTCTGAGTTGGGAGTTCTGGCTCCTCCTCTTATATTAGCTGTGTGACCCAAGGGGAAGCTGGTTTCTCATCTGTCAAATGGGCATTTATTGCTGACCTCATGGGTGTGGTGTGAGGGAAACATTTTGTAAACCTTCCAATGTCTTAGAAATTGGATCAACTTGTTCACCACTAAGAAGCACAACAATTGCGGCCTTGATCTTGACTTGGTCAGTACTAGACAGTGCTGGTGCTGGCCAGTGGCAGCAGCAGCACATCCCTACTTCCCTTTCCCCCATGGCTCCCATACAGCAACTCGCATCTCTACCTTAGGTACCCTGAGGCTCTGAAAGGTCCCAAGGCGCTCCTTTCCCAGAGAAGTGTAGGGTTCTCAGCTTAGAGACCTTGCAAGAGAAACCTGGGCTGGAAGGCAGGGTTTCTTGCCAAGAGTCAGGAAGGGAGATGCAATAATTTTCATCAGTCCCAAAGAGAGAGACCTATATCCATCCAGCAGGGAGAGGGGGGAATGTGAAACTGTCTGACCCCCATTTTTCTCAATCCCTGCTTGGGCAGGGGATGGAGAAGTAGAGAGGGGGACAGTCTTTCCCAAGACTCTGGCTTGGCCAAAGTTCCCTGAACTAAGGCCTATCCTGCCCCCTACCTCCCTCCCCACTCTCAGAGGCTTGGGCTCTCCATGCCTCCCCTTACCTGTGATTGGCACATCGGGGCGTGGCTGCTCCTTCCTCCACAGTGGTACAAAAACTGTGATATCTGAGTGGCCGCGCTCCAGGAACCAGTTCACAGCTAGCAAGATGCCCCGGCAGGAGAAAACCTCCTTATTTCCATGGCTAGAAGGTGGGTGGAAATCACAGGGTAAATCCATGTAGAAGAGGGAGGAGAAAACAAAGGACACATAGGACAGAGGGTTCAATTTTTATCTGGCCAGAAAGGAAGAGACAGAGGCTTGGTCTGGCACAGTTTCTGCATGTCCTCCTGGGGCCTCAATTTCTTCATCCCAGGAATGAGAAGAATTGGGTACTAATAGGTAACTCCCTAAGGCCTTCTGGCTCTCATATTCTACCCCAGTTTCCCATAGCGCCACCAGCAGGGAATTCCCCTTCTCCCCATCCCCCTCCAAAGTGAGGAAACATCCAGGAATCTGGCAGCTCCCACTCCCCATGGGGTCTGACACACTTTGTAACATCAGCTGAGGCTGGGGGAAGGAACACCGAGACTTCTGGTTTCTGTGCCCCTGGGGCAATGTGGCAAAGTGGAAAGGGGAGTCAGAGACTCTGGAGTTTGAAACCCAGCTGTGTTCCCTAATATCTGATTGACTTAGGGCAAATCGCTTCTCTTTGGGTCTCAGTTTCCTCGTGTAAATACATAATCTCTGAGGTACCACATTTCAGCTCTGAAAATCAATGTTGCTATGACTCTATACCTGTAACTATAGCTACATGATCTCCATGAGACAAGTAGCTGGACTCAGAGTCAGGAAGACTTCAGTTCAAATTTTGTCTCAGACACTTACTAGCCAGCTGCATGACCTTGTCCAAGTCACTTAATCTTTGTCTGTCCCAATTTTCTCATACATAAAATGGGGATAATAACAGCACCTACTCCCCAGGGGTGTTATGAAGATTAAATGAGATAATATTTGCAAAGCACTTTGCCAACTTTAAAGCCCTAAACAAATACAGTTGTTGTTATTATTCTATGACCTCACCGATCTCCAAACAATGTGTCTCCAAGGAGATACATTGGCCATGGGGGCAGGATCTCTTGCCCAGCTTCCTATATGAGTTGGATTTATGTGATATGAGACAAATCCCTTCCTCCCTCTCTGGGCCTCAATTTCCTCATGTATAAAAAGAAGGAACTGGACTAAATGGTTCCCAAGATCTTTTCCTACTACAAAAACAATTCAGTTATTCAATGAAATTCTAGAATTCTACAACTGGGAGTCAAGAAATCTGGGTTTTGAGTCCCAGCTCTGACTGTGACTTGTGACATAGGCAGAGATTTTTTTTTTCCCCTTTCTAGGGTTTCAGTTTCCGCATCTGTAAAGCAAATGTGTATTTCTGTGTCTATAAAGTCCTTTACAACTCAGAAGCTATAATTCAAAGGTCTATGTAGACAAATGACTTAAACCCTCCCTTTCCAATTCCTATCTCAAGATAGAAATGAAGGTCAAAGCAGGTGGGAGTGAGTAAACTATTCCTGAAAGGCTTCAAAGAGGATCAAGATCATTTCAAATTTAAATAAACCCCATACTCAAATCCTAAACCCCCCCAGCTATTACCATAAAGCTAAGGGGAGGTAGACCTAGGTGGGTCTGGGGATGGCTGGGGGGAGACCCAAAGCTCTGACCTAAGGCATTAGGGACTCAAATATCCCTGCTGGGGACAGAGATCATTCGGCCTTTCAGTATGAAAATTCAATTCAATAAACATTTATTAAGTCCCTGCTTTATGCCAGGCACAAGGGTTAGGGATATAAAAAGAGGCAAGAGACATTCCCTGCCCTCAAAGAGTTTATAATCTAAAGGAGACAGCATGCAAACAAATATATACAAAGCGATCTATAGACAGGATAAATAGGAAGTAATTAACAGAGGGAAGGCACCGGGATTAAGAGGGCGTGGGGAATAGTACTTTGGTCATTTCCTTCAACTCTCCACTGAAACTCTTTCTCCACTGCCCCAACAGAGCCTGGGCTCTGGAAGACTTTGCTGGCCAAAAGCAATCTCCAGAGAACCTACACCTAGGCTGAACGTGTGGGCTGTCTGAGAACCAGCCTGTTGAAGAGGCTCACCAGCATCTGATCTCTGGCCAGTGAGGACAATATTAAGAACTGGCAGAGGGGAGGGAGGGCTCACCTTGCTGAAACAACAGGTCTTAGAATCACAGGATCATAGATCATAGCTCCAGAGCTGAAAGGGACCTCGAATGTCACGAATCCACCCCTCCTCGGTTTACAGATGAGGAAGCTGAAGTTAACTGGCCCAAGGCCATACTGGTAGTAAGTATCTAAGGCAGGATTTGAATCCAGGTTCTTCTGGATTCAAAGTCCAGTATTCTATCCTGTATTCTATTCCTTCATTTTGCAAATGAGGAAACTGAAGACCAAAGACAGATTAAGTGACACTGTTATAAGGTCAAGTAGGAAGGAAGTAGTAGGAGGAGGAATCTTTTTGCCACCCAATAAAGTGACCCCAGTGACCAGAACTGGAAGAGTGAAATCTCCTTCCTGCTCTCCCTAACCACTTGTACAGTGTATGTATTTGTCTCCCTGTTAGGTTCTCAGCTCCTTGTGACAAGGGATTTTTTCATTCTTTGGATCTGTGTCCCTGGCATCTGGCATAGGACCTGGAATATGGAAGGAGTTTAAGCAATGCTTGCTGATTGACTAATGTAACTGTCACTCTCTAAATCAGATGTTCTTCACCCAGCACCATTAATTAAAATATATATTCTGAGAACTATTTTTCATTATAATCAGTTTCCTTTATGATCCTGTGCACTTTATTTTATGTATTTAAATACATTATTCTGAACAGGGGTCTATAGGCTGGACCCAGTGGGTCCAGGATACAGACTTAAGAAGCCCTGCTCTAAATAAACTCCCCTAGACTGGGGCAGAAGGTAGTACCTAATGTAGGTCTGGAATGAGATAATCAGACATCTGGGGTCCTGAGCCTCAGTCTCCCAGTCTATAACTTGGGGGCAGTGATCCCCATTTTCCCCCTCTCGGTGGAAAAATAGTGCCACTGTGGCTAAATAGAGACTTTCTTCCTTAGTCCAGTATGACTAGGAGGGCAATCAGGAGAGACAAGGGTCTGGGAAACCACCCCCTGTGCTCCATGTCAATTCAGTACCCTATGGTTGCCATGTAACCAGACCTGGCTGCACATTAACTCAAAGTGGCAGAGGGTTTCCAAGCAATCAAGGGCTCTGGTGACTAGGGGTGGGAGGTCCAGCCTGCCAACTCCCTGACTACACTAGCCTCTCTCCCACTGCATACTCCTCCCTCCCTACACTCCCCCTCCACCCCAATGAGAATTGAGAACTCATACATCTGGCAAAATCAGACAGATTAATCTTACGTAAAGAAGGCAGTGCCGCTGAAAACCACATCCTGTCGGGGATGTTCCCATTTCTGGGGCGTCTGTCCGCCTGCCCACTTTCCTCCCAACCAAGCCCAAAATTTACCCAGAGAGCAGCTGGAGGGAGGGGCTGAAAGCCCCCAGTTAGGGCACCAGGAAGTGCCTAGGGAAGGTGATCAGAAAGGATACCAGGAGGTTGAGCAGGAAGGCCAGGAGAGTGACCCATTCATTATTAGCTGAGTGAGCCTGGGTCCCCCCTAGACCTGAATTTCCTCCTTGATAATGAAGCCTTGGACCTCTAAGGTCCCGTCTAAGAACGCTGACCTCACTGGACTCTTTTCTGAGCTCTGGGTGAATTGTGGGGCCATCAGAGCACCAGGTTAGCTCCATCTCAACTCCTCTCCTCTCCACTGGAAACCCTCCTCTCTGGGAAAGAATGTTTTCTCTTCTCATCTCTCTCTCCCCTCTCCTCTCTGTGTTCTCTGTTTATGCTATCCCCTCTTGGGTGTTCTAACCCCAGCAGGCCAGTAAAGGACCAGCTGGGAAGAGATTAGCTGGCTAGCTAGTCTAACTCCCTTCCTTTTAGAGAGGAGGAAGTTGAGGTCTAGAGACATCAAATGATTTCTTCAAAGTCACACTTATGACCCTGGTTTGTGGCAGGGCTGGGACTGGATCAGAGATCTTTTAGCCCAGGACTCTTGTCTTTATATTGTATTGCCTGTCTCAGCCTTATTTCTAGGAAGCTGGAGAGAAATGGCGCTGAGCCCCAGAGAGGTTGGAATGGACATGCGGTGGTGGGTGCTGTTCACTGAACCTCTGGGCAGGTCTATAACTGGGACTATGGGCAATGGATGTGGAGGAAACAGAAGACGGCCCCCCCCCCCATTTTGGACTTTTTTCCCCCAAGTGATTTTTAAACTCCCTCTACTAATTCAGGATGGATGCTCCTTTGTCTTAGTTTCTCCCTCCTCATGTCTGAATCCTGATTTCATTTAAATCTCAGCTAAAATCCCACCTTCTGCAAAAAGCCTTTCCTGATCCCCCTTAATTCTAGTGCCTTCCCTCAGCTGATTACCTCTGATTTGTCTTGTCTGTATCTGGTCTGTACGTAATTGCATATTGTCTCCCCTATCAGACTGTGAGCTTTTGAGGGCAGGGACCGTTTGCTTTGTTTGTATCTCCAGTGCTTAACACAGTGGCTGGCACGTAGTAGGAGTAGTAGGCCCATATAAATGCTTGCTGACTTGACTAGATTTTTAGAGTTGCCTGGGGTCACAGAGAGGTTATGTGATTTGCCCAGAATCATCCATTGCTAGTATATGTTAAGAGTAAGGCCTTGAATTCAGGAATTTTTGACTGTAAGGTTGGCATTTATTTGGTTGAAAGAATAAACACATGCATGAACGTTTGCACACAAACACACACTCGCTCACTCCTGGGTTGAATGAGATTAGTCACAGGAAGTTTCCTGGAAGAAGCTGGCTGGCCTAGGTGTAACATACCCTTCATCTCCCTATTTTTTGCTGCCTGTGTGTTTGGGGATTGGGGGTTAGGGGTGGGATGAGACACATTATGGTAGCAATCCCATTTGCTTGTCCCTAGGGAAGGTCACACACCTGGTGCCTCCTCAGCTCTGAGACAAAACACCCAACCTACACTGGGCTCTTTACCCACATGTATAAACACGTCAGAAAGGCCTCGTTTGGGTGTGGGGACAGACACGTGCCAACACACACACACACACACCCCCTCCTGCTCAGAGGGTGGGCACTGAGTCTTGGTATGTGACTCCCCCACAGATAAGGCCTATGGTTCTAGCTACAAAACCAGGGCCTGCTTGTTATGGAAGATTCTGAGCCCAGCTCCCTCCCCCACAGATGGTCAGTCTAGCCTTGGGAGACCTCAGGAGGAAAGAGAAGTGAGGGGCACTGTAAAGACTATGGCATTCCCCCCTTCCCTCCATTTTCTCCTGCCCTGGACCATTGGGGAGGCCCCCAATGGAGCCTCTGAATGAACCTGAGACTCCCATTCCCCCCCAGGTCTCAAAAACTCCCTTCTATTTTATTCCTCAAAGCCATTTTCTCTTGGGTCTCTGACTTTCTTTTCTGCCCACTTATCCCTTTCTTCCACCTCAGACAGTAGGAACCCAACAGAATCCTCACTCTCCTTTCAGAGGAGTCAGTCTTAGCGTGAAATCTTGAGAAGTAAGAAAAAAAAAAAAACACCCAACACAGCTTTTGTGGGGAGGGCAATTCAGTGGGAAGGAAAGGCCTGCTACTCCACCACCCTTGAGGGTCCCCAAGTGAAGCCTCAATTTCTCACTACCCCATAATGGAAGCCACTTATTTTTGTCCTTGTGTCCTCGGGGTTCAGTATGGTGTAGTGGCTAGAGCTGGCCTGGAAGCCAAGACTGCATTCAAGTCCCTTGTGACACACAATGGCTTGGTCACCAGGACAGGGAAGGCACTAACTTCTCCATGCAACTCTCTTGTCAGGCTGTGAGTTGTAGGGAACATGCTGACTGGCACTGGCAAGGAAGTTAACCTCACCTGGGAGTTCCCTGGGCAGGAAATCACAGGTCAAGTCTCTAGTTCAATCTCTAAGGCCTAGCACAGAGCCTGACACACAGTAGGTGCTTGAAAATGCTAGCTGAACCAAAATGTGCCCCTTCTAGCTTTGACAATCTGTGTTGTAGAGAATATGTGGCCTTCTCCCAAAGGCTGGCCTAATTCTCAACTTTAATGTTTAATAAAAGCTGTCTTTCTAATCAAAGTAGCCTGCCCCTGAACCTGAGGAGTGGGGAGAGGGCAGGAGAGGAGGGTTATGGCTAGACAGGCTCTCCCAGAGTCCCCTGGGAAGGGAGAGAAGAAGCCCTCCCCAGGTAATCTGATTTGGCAACAGTCTGAGAAAATTCCCTTAGAAGGAAATGAGAGGTTAATTTCCACCCGATTTGCATACGGTGGGGGCGCTGGAGGGGTTGGGGGTGGAGGGGGGTTGTAGTCAGGCAGGGCAGGGACACAGTTTGCAACACAAGCCAATACAGGAAGTCAAGGCTGGAATTCCCCTCCTGGGGAGCAATGAAAACCCCAGCCAGCAGGGGACTGTGGTCCCGGCCAGGCCTGACCTCTCTCCTCTCCCACTCCACATGGCTCCTGGGGCTGGGCTGGGCCTTTTTGGCCTGCTCCTGACAGGCTGGCTGGATTACCTCCCCCTCATTCTCTCTCCCCCATACACTGTTGTCACAGCTCAATCTACTATACACAGGCCAAGAAGCAGAGCTAGCTTCTCTTCCCCACCCCAGAAATGACCGTCTACAAATCTGTCTTATCTATGTGCACTCTCCCACCCCCATACACTTACAGGGCTCTGAGGTACCCCAATACACATTCTAGGACACTGATTGCCAGCCCCCTTCACACTATCCTGATACATCACACCCCAAAATCGATTTCCCCGCAGACTTTTCATCCAATCCAAGAATATTCAAATAGAAGGATCATGGATCTTGAGGTGGAAGGGCCTTCAGAGGCCAATTAATCAATGGGGTATTTATTAAGTCCCTCCTCAGTGCCAGGCACTGTGCTGGGTGCTGAGGATACAACCACCTCCGCTCTCAAGGACCTGATAAAAGAGTTTAAACCCCTCATTTTACAGATAAGGAAATGGAGGTCTGGAGAGGGCTAGAAATTACCCAACATCACACAGGGGAGTGGGGATCTGGGCCCAGACCCTCCCATTCCAAATCCAGGATTTCAACACAACATCCCCATATATTACATACCTACTTTGAACCGGATACTATGTTAGCATACAAAGATAAATAAAAAAAAAAACAATCCTTAACCTGGAGACACTTACATTCTACACACATTCAAATACCATACAAACCAGTATTTATACCCTACACAACACAACCTCATACCATACCTGACTGACAGAGACCCTGACTGATCCCAAACTCATACCACACCAGAAAGATTCTACACCATTCTTCCCATTTCAGATAGCCCAATCATCAAGCTGAGATTCCACACCCCCTACCCCCATGGCTGGAGGTAGCAGGTAAGCCCTCTCAAGCTACTGCTGAACAGGGCTGTGACATCGAGGGTGAGGGTCAAGAGCCCCTCAGAGTTACGACTAACCACTAGTCACTAAACTTCGACATGCCAGGCTTTCTCTCAGAAAGCCTTCTCCCAACTTCCAGGTTGTCTAAGGTCCCAGTACAGGACCTGACCTTGGCTGTGCCAGGGACTGTTGAGAGCGGGGAAAGTGGCAAGAGATGACAAGTCCCTAGAATCCAAGGCCACCCCAGCTATCCCCCTCCTCTTTCAGTCCAGGCCGACAGGATCTCAGTGGGTAAGGGCAGAAAGAATGGGAACTCACTAGTCAGAAGCCCCAGAGTCTCAGATACCTATTGTATGACTTTGTCCAGGTTCACAACCCTAAATCTATGATCCTATGATCCTTCCCTCTCTGACCCTGTTTCCGCATATGTCAAGCAAGGAAAGCACGTCACTATCTAACTCCTTAAATCAGGAGTGTCCCACTCTACTGACCCTCAAGAAGCTTCCTCTTGTCTTCAGTTAACAAAAAATAAAATTTTTTTTAAAAACTACATAGCAACTCAGATTTATGATGAGTCAGCTGAAAAGTTCTAGTTCGTTGGCCTTCATTTTACTGAGGAGAAAAATGAGACCCTGGCATGGGAAGGAAACTGGCTGAGGTCATAAGGGGTCAGCGGCAGAACCAGTATTAGAACCCAGGTCTCCTAACTCCTGGTCTCAGGCTCTCTTTGCCTAGTATAGGCTGTCTCCAAACCACTCATTTCCTTTCCCCTAAAGTTGACCCCTAACCTTTTCCTTCTCCAGACACCAGGGCCTTTTGTTCCAGCTAGCTAAGAGGGAAAGCTTAGCCTCCGGTCTGACCTGTTTTCCAGGACCACTTTACTCCCAGGCCAGTAGCTGGGCCAGAGCAGAAAGGCTGGGAACTCATTAGACCTTGTTATTTCCTTGCTTGAAGAAGACCACCCCACCCCCAGCAAGCCTGCCCATTGCCTTCTCCCTCACCCAGGGGAGTTCCTGCCTGAGCCCAAGGCTGTCATGTCAAGAGGAGCTGTCCCCAGCCAGCTCCAGGAAGCACGTTCCTCATGGCTCAGGGCTCTGGTAGGGACAGTCCCCTGAGTCAGAGGGGCAGGTGAGTCACTGACTCACCTGAGGCCTAAGCACTTGGCTCCCTGGGTCCACCCACTCACTCCAAAGGCCAGAAATTGACTGCATTTAGTCCAGGTCCTTGCAGGTAAAAAGAGTTGGGGGCAACCCTTCCTCCAGTCGAGGAGGAGGGGATATCTTAGCATCAGGAGTTTTAATGTTTGTCAAAGGCCTTACATTCAGCCTAGCAACACTTCAAGGCAAGAAAATTCAGCCTCCCGGAGGTTAAATGACTTTCCCATGGCCACATCAACGAGTAAATTTAGAGTTGCAATTTTTCAACCCAAGTCTTCCCAACTCCAAACCTGGCACTCAATCTGTTGTTCCTATTTCTTCAGAGAGATAATGGAGTTGGCATTTCCTCACTTGGAACCTGAGAGCTCCTATGGGCTCTGGACCTAATGCCATTTTAGAGATGAGGAAACTGAGGCCAGATGAGATGCAAACCCATTCCTCCCCAATGATTTTCACCCAGGGAAGAACCCCATTGAAATGTTGATGCCTTATCCTCCTGTAAGAAATGCAACATACTAGATGGGAGACCTGTGCCTTGGTGAAGGCAGAATTGTATACCCATCACTGCCAGAAAGGTGAGCTGCACACAGCAGGTAACGAATGTTTGTTTAACAGAGCCCCACAAGCAAAGCTCTGTGATGTTACCCCTGTGTGTGTAACCAGAATAACCACAAAACTCAAATTTGACTATAGGACTGTCAGCGAGGGCCAGGGACAAATATGCCCATTATATTCCAAGCTCCTAGTAAACCAGCATGAAAATAGAGCAAGAGACAAAATGATACCCAGAGTGAGTGAACAGACCTCATGGCTACATTGCTCCCATCGATGACCACTGGCCTCAGGTTACTGGCTTCCTTGTCCTCAGGGGGCAGAGAGGAAGGGGAGGGTGCCTTTGGGGTCCCTCCGCCTCGGGGCACCAGAGGCAGCTCTGTGGGCCCATCCAGTGAGGCTTCCCGCTCTGTGGCTGGCCCATGTTTCACCAGCTCACCCAGGACAGTGTTGGTGTCAGCCTGAAGTCCCAGCTTGTGTAGGACCCCATGGATCTCCCCAGATGAGTAGCCTAGTTTCCGGAAAAAGTCCACTTTCATCTGTAGCTCTGTATCATCCAACCCTTCTGGGTGGCCTGGCTCTGGGGCCACCATCACACTTCTGTTGTGTGGGGAGCAAGGCCGGCTGGTTTGGGGGCTCCCCCGAAGTCTAGGAAGGGGGCCCAGGCTGTTGGGTCCCAAGGAGGCATTCTCCTGGACAACCGAAAGACTCATGGCAGGACTGGCTTGATGGGAAGGGCCCTCACTTCGAGGAGTAAGGACCTCGGGGGACCTCTGGTCCACGTTCATCCTTCTCTTCCTGAAGGCTCAAGCTCCTAGTTCCTTCCAGCTTCTGTGAACCAACCAAGCAGATGCTCACTTAATCAGGGGAGTTAGAAGAGAAGAGGTGGGTGGCAGTCATTTAGGCTTCTTATGTGGACAACTTAGTGTGACAGAAAGAACATTGGCCCGAAGTTGGGAGACCTGGGTTCAAATCTCAGTTCTGTCTCTGACTTTTGGTGCAACTTGGGCCAATCACTTCCTAGCTCTGAGCCTCAGTTTCCTCATCTCTAAAGGAAGGAACTAGATTTTTTTTTTCTTAGTTTTGAGGTTTAGTGATTCTGTGAAACCAAAACCTCCTGTATTCTTGGCCACCATGTTGCTAGGGAAATCAAGGCCAGAAATGCAGTGCCCAGAAGACTCACAAAACCCTGCCTCCCTAACAGTTTCACCTCCCCAATAGGCCCCAGAGGCTAAGACCTCTCAGAAATTTTCCCCCCCACCCCCCCACCCCCATACAAGCCTCTTGTGATTGGGGGAAGGGAGAGCTCACAGACCACCCCTCCCACAGGTCCTGGGCAGCTGCTTCCAGTTGTATCTCTCCCTCCCCATCCCCTTAACTAGGAGAAGGATGAGGGAGGAACCAGATAACCTTGGCAGATTGGGAAGAGGTTGGGGGGAGAGGTCAAGAAACCAGACTAAACTAGGTGGCGAATTCACCCCCCCCCCCCAAGCCAAGCTCAGTGGCCATGGTCCCAATCTCACCGTGGGAGTGATGGGGGGGAAATGGGGAGGGGGGTGCTACATTGCCTGTTTCTTAGATCCAGGCACGAGACAACGGTCCCAAGGCACTGCCAAGGTCACGGAGCTTGGGCACCCGGGAGAGAAGTTTCCAAAACTGCTGAAGGGGCAGAAAAGTACGTAGGAAACTTTCGAGGGAAGTGAGGACGGGGGGGGGGGGGGGGGGGGGGGGGGGGGGGGGGGGGGGGG